TACTACTTGAAAGTAATCGTACATGGCATGGTGCATGCCGCTTTTTTCCGGCTCGGGGTTTTGCCGGAGAAAAGCGCCAGTCTAGACGCGATCTTGCGGAAAATAAACCCTTTTCCGGAAGATCCCTTATTCCTACCTTTCAAGTAGGAATAAGGGATCTTCCAGAAAAGGGTTTATTTTCCGCAAGATCGCGTCTAGACTGGCGCTTTTCTCCGGCAAAACCCCGAGCCGGAAAAAAGCGGCATGTTCCATGCCATGTTCCATTACTTTCAAGTAGGAATAAGGGATCTTCCAGAAAAGGGTTTATTTTCCGCAAGATCGCGTCTAGACTGGTGCTTTTCTCCGGCCAAACCCCGAGCCGGAAAAAAGCGGCAGCCATGTTAATGCAAATGCCGCGGGGGATATTTAAATCCTCCGTGGATTTGCAATTCCGAAGTGTCTCATTAGCATCCCTTTTCCGGAAAGGGGTGCCAATGTAGACACAGCCTGACTGAGATGCCTGGAATGACTGTCAAATCCAGTTATTCGACGGACTCTTTATGTGGACGAATCATAAACTTAAACAGAGCACTGTGTTTGAAAAAGTCAACAAAACTAGACTTGAATACCATCAGGAGCTCAGAAACAAACCCAGCAAGCTACTGCAAATCAAGACTGCTGTTTGGATTCTTTCTCTGATACAAATCACGAAACATTCATAGTCTTTCAAAACTTGCGAGTCTGCTTGTCTTGATATCTTTGATGAAGACAGTCAATTTTGACTCAGGCGAGTCAGAACTCTATTTCCTTGCCCTTGTAGCTTCAGGTTCAACTCATTCAAATCACCAGCAATGCTGATGAGACAGTACAACTTGAGTAACGAGTCATAGTCTGAAAGCTCAGCATGTTCGACACCCTTCATATCCCAAAATGACTAAATCTCATTAATGAAGACAGCAAAATGAGACAAAACTTTGCCATGAGACAACTAGCAAACTTATACTGTGCATTAGTAGATCTGAATACTCAGAACCCACTTCCTTGAGCAGTGACTGAAATCGACAGAGATTAAGGGCTCATGCACAAATCTAACTGACAATGCGAATGACCACTTCCATTACATTTCTAAGGCTATGTCTAAACTACACCCCTGTCGGCAGAGGGATGTAACTTAGATATATCAAAAGTGCAAATGAAGCCGGGATTTAAATATCCCACACTTCATTTGCATAATGGCAGCTGCCGCTTTTTTTTCCGAAACGGGGCTTTCAAAAAACCCCGGCAGTTTAGATGGGGTATTTTCAACAGAAATGCCCTGTTTCGAAAGATCCTGTGCTTCTGTCAAAAATGCCCCATCTAAACTGCTGTTTTTTTTTAAAGATCCATTTCAGAAAAAAGCGGCAGCCACCTTTATGCAAATTAAGCGCGGGATATTTAAATCCCAGCTTCATTTGCACTTTCGATACGTTTAATTTACATCCCTCTGTCGACAGAGGAGTGTAGTTTAGATGTAGCCTGAGTTTGGTTCCATAAGACTGCAGACAATGTGCCTCTGGATGCACGTTGCAATGAAAGTTCAAAAGTGGGTAGTTCAGCTGTTCTGACAAAACAGTAAAGAAACTCCTGAATTTGCCGACAATGCTAGGTGCACTGTCCATACACATAGACACAAGATTATCCATCTGTACTTCTTTCTCATTTACAAAGTTCATCACTCTCTTTCTCTTTGCCATTTTTACTGTTTGGGGTTCACAGCGTTCACCATCATGTATGATGATAGAAAGATTTCTCGATCAATCAAATAAAAAGAGAATATACATGATTTCCAATGAATGGAGAGGATGGGTGGTTGTTAAAATAAACAGTTAAAGGTGAAACAGACAAAAAAGGCCAGGTTGACATGAGTAATTACGTGTTTTTAATTTTTTGAATTAATTTTTCATTTTAATTTAAAAAGTTGCATGTATTTTGGGACTGACAAAAAGAGCCATATTTGGTTCCATATTTGGCTCTAGAGCCAGAGGTTGCAGACCCCTGATCTGATTCAATGCAGTGGGGACAGAAGCTGGATCTGGGGTGAGGGGAAAATGCTCAGGACAAGGGATTTGGTGGCACTGGGGAGACAAGGGGAAAGGGAATCAATAACCGGCTGGCAAGGAGACAGGGCCTAGGAACTGGTTAGGAGAGGGAGGGAGAAGATGGGACTAGTTGGACAGTGAAACCAGGATTGGGAGCCAGTGATAGAAATGAACAGGACTGGGAGCCAGTTGACCTGTGGAGAAACTCTGAGAATGATCTAGCAGCTGGAGGAATGGCTGGACGAGGTGACTGGGACTCACGGGGACATGAGAGCCACTGCACAGAGGGACAAAGTGTTTTTAGGCTACATTTGTGCCACCAGATCCCATACTGCTCCAGGAGTTGGAGAGAACTCTGGCATAAATTAGACAGCCCTAAGAGTGTCAAGATTCACAACTGGCTGAAATGCTACCTCTGAATGTATGCAGTGCTGTGGCTCTGCCCCAGACATATTCTTCCTGCCTCAGCTCCCGACACTCATCGTACACCAAGGATTGCGAGAAGGTCCTCAGGAGACAATCTTAGAGCCATCTTCCACAGTGCCAATTCTGGGGGAATTCTCCATAGGCATAACTGGGGCTTTAAAGCCTTCCCCTCCCACCACTTTATGCTGCCCTTCAATCCAGCAGAAAGGAGCCAAAGCGGTAAAAAGGATCTCAAGCTCCCGTTTTCCACGGGGGATTTCATCCATAGTCTAGCCCCCTTGTTTGGGGTCTGGTGGTAGAAGGGAGGCTTCTTATTCCATCTCACCATAGACAGGAATGCTACCATATGGCTGCATCTTTAATCATATGCATGGTACAGTAGATAGATGAATAACAGTTTAGTGTATTTTAAGTAAAGTGGGAGATACACAGTGAAATTCTAACTGAAATTAGACATAACTGGGACATTAATTGTTGATGAATTGACCTTTTAGTCTGCTAATTTAATGACACAGTGGTCTAATGAGAATAATGTGTCATATATTAAGATGTACTGGACATGTCGGCATAAATCCAAAAGATAAGCAAAACATATTTGCCAGTTGAAATGCAATGCGGCTATTCTGTGGTTTCCATTTCATTCATTCATGCTCTTTATAGATCTGATATGTTCTGTGTTTTTTCTTTTGATGCATCATAGCACATTAAGTCCACATTTTATTGCAACACTAGTTGTTGTATTAGAAACTACGCTGGAAATTATTTGAAATAAATGTTTGGCATTTTATTGCAACACTAGTTGTATTAGAAACTACGCTGGAAATTATTTGAAATAAATGTTTGTGACAAACTTAGTTTGAAAACACAAATTGGGCACAACTTAAAGTTACTAACTTTTGAGTTAGGGGAAATCTGAACATATAGTGGAAATCATAGCACCTTTCCTATTTAATGCAATGTTTTCCAGGGCTCCTCAGCAATTCAATTAAAATGTCAAATCCATAATAATCCCTAGAGTACACTTCAAAGGAGTTGGAGTATATTTGTGTGAATTACTTCAGGAAGGCAATTGGGCCCTGTAAATATGATAGCGTGAGTGCAGTGAAACAATTCAGTAGGGTAAAGCCCATGGCGATGCACTTCATAGCAAGTACCACTAAGCAAGCATCATCACATTATGCTCCATTTCAAGACCAGCCACAGATACAGAGTCCAATCTCACTTCCACTGAAGTAAGTGGAATTAGAGCATGGTATGATTTGTGTAAAATATTGTTACTGAAGATCTTAAATAACATACAGGCTATTTTTATTCTGTAGATACTAATGGAAGACTTGACAGCTTTTAGCTTTCATCTTTTTCTTTCATGTCTGGGGTAACTTCTTCTGGATTTAAAAAGCCAAATTCGGCTCCCCATTACTCCATTGACTTCTTACGGCCTAAATTGATGACTGCAAGCAATTACAAGTTTTATGTATCTTCTTAAAAATGAATATGATACAGACACATTTGCATTTAAAATTAGAAATCTTTCGTTATTTTCTCCTTTTTGTATCACTCCACTGGCAACTAAAAATAGCATTCATTCGATCTGAAAAATATTGGGAAATATAGCTTCCAGAAACAATGAACAGTTTGTCTGTTCTTTTTTGGGCTGTATCAAATGAGCAAAACTGCAGCATATTCACTAAAATCAGTTTTCTTCCCTGTCCCAGGTCAAGTGTCTCCAAGTTATTTTGTTTTATAACCATCCCCTGCTAATGTATAATCTTTCAGTGACAAAGGATCATTCACAAAACCAGCTTTACAAATACTGATTTCTGAGACATAGAACCACAAACTGCCTTCTTCAGATCCTCAGTGGATCTTTAGAAAGTTGAGATTATATATTTATCTTTACTATGAATGAAGTGCAAAGATTGCTTCAGAAATGCCTAAAGCAGAAATCTTACCATCGTTCCTTAATATCAAAGGAGTTGGAGGCCCCAGCACTTTATTATTTGTTACAGTGTTTGTCACCACACATGTGTAGTTGCCCACATCAGATGTTTCCACCTTTGCTATGTACAAATTCCCAGTCTCTTGAGAAACAAAACGACGATTATCCTGGTGCACAAATGATGGATATTCATTGAAGATCCATGCATACGTCAGTTCTGGAAAGAAAAGAAAACAGTGTTTTTTTTAAAAAAAAATATGGTTCCATCCCAGAACAGAACTGAAATACTATTAATGAATTTCTCCTTGTCTCTTGTAGTTAGAAAAAGGGGACACTAACTCATAATTAAATGAAAACGTCTTGCTTGTACAAATATGAATATAATCTTGTATACTGGTGCAGTGGTGTCTTTCTGAGTCTTCAGACAGATAGCTCTTAGCTCCAGTGTCTCTGTTGTGCCTCAGTTCTTCCAAACCAGAACAAAATTAAATTAATAAGAAACTCACTAATTTCATAAATGCTTTTCTGAAACTCTCAAGAATCATGCCAATTTCACATGGCTTAGAAAAGTGATGAGCTGTAGGACAGGCAGGCACTGGAGCTATTTATGGCAAAGACGACTCAAGAACAGCCTGGCATAAACTAGAAGGGCTTTGCAAAGAAGCAGAATTAAGAACCCTCTATTCTATAAGTTACTCTCGATCTCATTTCATTTTTTGGACTTTTTACATCAATTGTAATGCTGATTTTTATGGGAATTCTTTGATTTATATGCAAAAACTCAGTTTTTAAGCAATTTCACCAAATTCCCAGCTTCGTATATTGCATCATCAGTTCAAAGTAATCTGAAAAATTGTTACAAATAGCCACAATATCCTGTTACTACAATAAAACATGTATGTAGTCATATATTTATTAATATATTTACAAAGAAAAATGTTAAAATTAAATATAATATCCTACTATACTGGCTTAAATTCAGGCTTCTATTGTATTCCTGCAAGGACTGAAAGCTTTTGACACAAAGTATAGTAGGAAATAAAGCAACTGCTGACATAGCATTTGGTCCCAAATTTGCAAACCTATCATGCCAGCTGATGTTTATGCTCACATAGAATTCCCAAGTCAAGGCTCCATAAATGTCATTCTGCACTTATCAGATAGCAGCATCAGGCTTTCCACCACTATGCTGATGAAATATAGAACCATCATAAACAATTGTCAGTGGCAGGGAAACTTTGTAATTCACTCTTAAGAACTGTTGACAGTGAACCAGCTTTCACAAGCAAATTCTACATCTTTCAAAAAGGTACATCCAAATCAGGGGTGATGGTGTTTGTGTGTGCACATGATTCACTTGGATGCACATCCATTTATTTAAATTTATTATCTGCCTTATTCACAGAGAATTCAGACTTTGTGGTTTGACAGTTCAGGAAGTTTTATCACATGGAAACTAAGTTTGAGACAATACTTGTCATGCCTTTTTCACCAAGAACATACCTGTAATAGGGTGTGCTGATTCAGGAGCTAACTCAGCACTCTGGCACTCAAATCCCCATCTGTTTACACTGAGTCCTGTCTGACAGAAGAGGCCAATTAACTGAGTGAGGTACAGCTTAGGGGGTCAAAATGGGAAGAAGTAACTTCAACAACTATGCCCATGTAAGTAGACCGGAAGGAATGTAGCAGGAAGAGCTGGGAGACTGAAGGAAAACAGAGGTGGGCAGGCTTGACTGCTGTTAGTAGTACTATTCCCTTTGCTGGAAGCAGGTGAGGAAGCTGGCTATGAATTGTAAATATATGCAGAAGTGAAAGGAAAGGGGTGTGCCCAGTACACAGCTCCAGAAAGAATTGGATGAGCTGTGGCAAAAGCCAGCAGGGAACTACTTAAAGAGCCGGCAGGGACCTGGGTTGTGAAAGGACAGTAGCTTAAGTTCCTTTTACCCCGTTAATGCCACACACTATGGCTTGCTAGCAGAATAAAATAAATAAAGATGGTGGTAAAAGAGACCCGGAAAGTTTGTGGTCTGTGATAAAGGCCTGAAAGGACTCAGAAGGGACCACTCCATGACAATTTCATTTTGTTGCATCATGAATAATACTCTTAGCTTTATTGCTTCTTTCTTTTCAAGATAAATTATGGTAGAACCCACCTTAATCTGTTCTTTTGAACTGTATGGTTTTATACTTTGGGATTTTTTAATACATGAAATTAAGTAGCTATAATCTTCAGTGCGACTAATTACATAATATTCTAATTTATAACATGCCTTTGGAAGTTTTTTGCAAAAAAAAAAAAAAAACTGAAAGACAAACTGCAAGTGATTGCAGAATTTGTAAGTTAGGTTAATGTAATATAACCCTATTATATTTGTCTAAGACTAATACCCAAACACTGAAAACGTTAGAAATTACAGTAAGGAAAGATCACTGTAACTTGGTGAAGAGAACATTAATTATAGTAAAAAAGCATATTCTTAGTATAATATTCTAATGAGCCATAATTGTAATTGACCTCAACTACTGTTATGTACTTTAAGAAATACATTCTGTCCTAATGTTCCAGTGTTTACACACATAGAAGGGGGTATGCAGATTGTTGTGTTTTTCATTTAATTTTATTTATTTATTTATTTATTTATTAATGCCAGGATTATAAGTCTGCTTAGACTTCTTGGAAGATATAATTATGCTTATATGGGAATATCGAATCATTGTATTTACACATGTGCACCTAATTATAAGTAACCCCATGCTGATGTCAAGAGGATACTTGGAGTAAACAAGGTAGCACTTCTCAGCAGGCTTATTATTTTCTGAAAGTATTTATAATTGTTTTAATTTACTCTTGGTGAACAATTAACTTGTTTACCCAGAAGCATCCAACAATAGACAAACATTTCTGCTTTAGAATGCAAAGAGCAGTTTTTAGCTTTGACTGAATCTACAGACCTTGGTCCCCTGGCAAAACAAGGAAAAAGCCAAAGACCAAAAATGTTATGTAGTTAATGCAGCATGGCCAATTAATAACACATTCCACAATTTCAGTGTCAGCTTAGAAACCCTAATCAAACAGATTGCAAGAGTGAAGGAGGCTGTGTGGACATTGTATGCAATAGAGAAGGCTGATTAAAAACCAACTTCTAATTGTGGAAGTCCATCTTGAGACAACTGCAAGGGAACACATTTTCAGAGAATGGATGCTCAGGCACTTTTGAAAAATCAAGCTGGATTTCACTCTTCCCTCCTAAAAGCAGCAGGCATTCCAAATCACTACCAGTTTTGAAAATCTCGGCTTTATTCTGATTATAACTCAGGCCAGATCTACACTAGAAATGGAAGGTCAGCTTAAGGTACGCAACTCCAGCTACACAGAATAATTAGCTGGAGTCGGCTTACCTTAAGACGAGCTTGGCACTGTCCCTACTGTGGGAGGACAATGGGAGCAAATGCTCCCATCAGCTTCTCTTACTCCTTGCAACAACGAGGAGTACAGACACCAGCCAGAGCTGCCCTCAGTGTTCTATTTCTGGGTCTATACTAGACCCCCTAAATTGAAAACCAGAACATTAATCTCTGGCACGGCGAGTGAAGATGTGCCCTCAGTTACACTGCAGAGCACTACATCTGTATAACTACTAACTGCTATAACTATAAGAGATAAAACAGCATTATCAAGGCAGCTGTGCTGTACAGTATTTAAAACAATTGAATGAATTTCTAAAGCTGAAATTAATAATTCTAATTTATTTTATCTAAAATAACTGCAGAGTTTTTATTATCGTGGTATTGCAGTGACTTGGAATCAAAAGATATAATAAAAAAGATGGGAAATAAAGCAGACTGGAGAAGACTTAAGTACATTTCCTTGTGTAGCAACATGTAAACACATACAGTACAATACTCCGTTTGATTTCTGTAGAGATCCCTGTGCAATATTTATGTCTGTTCAAACTTGATGGATTTCTTTTGATAAGGTTTCACAGACTAATTGCTCTGGAAGTGACAGACAGTTCCTGTCCCATAGGCAATTTGTAACATCTAAGAAAACAGACACTTAAATTACAGTATGAAAGAGCTTTTGGTGATTCTGGTGGGTGCAGGGCCATCCCTAGGCATATGAAGTATACGCAGCTGCTGAGGGCAGCACGAAATTTGGGACACCACTGTGCCCCAGAGTTCATGGTGCCCTCGGCAGTTGCATGTTGTGTATTGCTAGGGTTACTGGTGGGATGGGACAGCAAGGAATGGGCAATGCTGGGTAGTCCTATCTGCTGGACCCCAAAGCAGCCACTATTGGTGGGCTACACTTAGCTACTATCCACCAACTGTTTGGGGAAACTGCTGCCCATCTCTGGCTGGTTGCACAGCCACCCCGTGCTTGGCCTCTGCCCTGAAGGTTGCACTACTCTGTACCTGGTACCTCTTTCCTGCTCTCCTGCCAGCTTCCCTGCCCTGGACCTGACCCCGCACAATTCTGGGCCTGCTTCCCGACAACTCCTATCACTGTGTCCCTGCAGCTTTGAGTGCTGCCCCCCATGGAATGGTCACCGCCTCTGCAGGGGGGATGCAGGTCCTTGGGCTGCGTAGGACACCAGGCATCATAGGGACAACCCTGAGTAGGTGACTGATTCATTACGTGGGTTATAACAAGATGCCTTCCAGTCTAAAGGTTGTCCACAGAATAGTTCACAGTTTCTCATGGATGACACCAATTATATTTTAAGAACTTACTGTGACATTCTGTTTTCCAATTTGTTTCCCTTCTCAGATAATTTTGGCTAATAGACAATGTTTTACTGCACTGCATACAATGTTTTTATTTGCCTTTTTAAAAGTCATTGAACTAGATCCCTCAAATGTGATGCACTATATTATGCATTTTGAGCCAGATTTGCAACTGGTAACAACTGGTAACAGTGGGTGTGTCTAGACTACAGGGTTTTGTCGACAAAAGTCGACTTTTGTCAACAAAACTATACTTGTGTCTACACTGCTGCTGAGTTCTGTTGACATAACATCGACAGAACTCAGCAGTTTTGTTGACGGTGGTAAACCTCATTCTATGAGGAATAACGCCTTTTGTCGACAGAGTTCTGTTGACAGAAGGTGTTATTGCATCTACACTGTCCTTTGCATCTACACTGTCATGTTGACAAAGCGGCTTGCTTTGTCGACAGAACTAGATGTAGTCTAGACGCTCTTTGTCAACAA